AGCCGGGCGCTGAGGTCCGTTCTCTCTGCAGGGGACCGAGAGAAGGGGGAAATGGGGCTGGGGGCCGTTCCCGGGAGGCAGGCGGCCTTCCGCGAGGGGCTGGAGCAGGCGGTGCTGTACGCTAAGGCTCTGGGCTGTCCCAGGTATCCTGCCCTTTCCTCTTCCCCTTCTAAGACCCAAGACCCTACCGCACGTGTTTGGGGGTGGGGGATGAGGACGCCAGGTTGTGAGAGAGCCTCAGAAGTCTGAGCGCGCTGGCGCTTCTACACCCCTGCAGTCCTGGTGCTTTGTAAATTGCCTTTCATATTTGTTGTGTGTCATTCTCAGTTGGCAACTCTTTCATGCTTCTCCCCTGCTGGGATCCCATGCTGGGAGCTCAGTCCGACCTGGGAGATAGCAAAGTAAACAGAAAACGGAGGAGGGATACATTTGAGAACAGGTCAATGCACGGAGGCGGAGGCAGTGGGAGCAGAGTAGGCACCTGTCTGGGATTAGAGGAAGCTTCCTACAGGTGTAATGTTGAACTGGGTCTTAAGGAGTGGGCATTTGCTTGATGTAAGGAGCATTCCAGGCAGGGATGCTGTGGCCAGAGGCAAGAGGCGGCCTGGTGTGTTCAGCAAAGTTCAAGAGGCTGGATGTGGCTGAGGAAGATCAGGTGGTGATGGGAGGTGGAAGGCTCTAAGTGGGGCTGATCAAATGTCAAATCCTGCGGGTCTAAATAGGCTGAGAAGGAACTGGCAGTAAGGGGTCGCTATTGGTAGGGGTGGGGTGGGGTCAGAAATCAGACGAGAAGCAGCTAAAAAACATTCAGGAAATAGAGACAAAGCAGCATGGAGTTCTCAAGAAGGGTTTGGGTCAAAATGTCTAAAAAGGGAGACTTCAGCATGTTTCAAGGCCGAGAAGGGCCACTGGAAAGGAGGCTGAAAGCACAGGAGGGGCTAAGTGAGGAACTGGACTGTGAGGCAGGAGGATTGACCCTCAGGATTGTGGGAAAAGGCGGGGCCAAAGCCGACACAGGTGTGTCTGAGGCCTGAGCATCACGGCCAAGTGGTATGGACCAGAGACCTTTGGGGGATGGGAGGAGGGCAGCTGGAAGAGGAGCTGAGGGAGCAAAGGCCCTGCTCTGGGGTGGACTCCACAGCCCCTTCCGGTCCCATTTTCCCCACAGGATTCACCTGATGGCCGGCCGAGTACCCCGGGGTGCTGACCGAGCAGCAGTCAGGAGTGAAATGGAGACAGTTTTTCTGGAGAACCTGAAGCACGCAGCCGGGGTTTTGGCTCGGGTGAGATGACAGTGAAAACAGACGCACATACTTACACGAACGTGTCCGAGTGCAGGGAGGGGGGTGCACAGTGCAGAGAGCAGCCCAGCATAAGGCTGGGCACTGGCCGAGGTCAGAGGGACTGGTGAGGGGCTTGGTCAGTGACAAAGATAGAGGCCAAACCTGGGGGGAAGAGCTCTATTCACAGATCCGACACGGTGCTAGGAGAACCTCGTGGGACTGCTGGAGCCCATTAACACCCGCATCACCGACCCCCAGTACTTCCTGGATTCGCCCCAGCAGGGTAGGACCCCCGCCCTGTGCTGCCTCCTGTCCCTTTGATTCTTGTGCCCTCCTTGAGTGTCACGCGCCCCCCCCCCCCCCTTTCTCTCCAGCGGCAGCCATCTTACAGAAGGTCGGAAGGCCCAACCTCCAGTTACAAATGGTACGTGAAGAAAAGGAGTGCTTCTCAGGGCCCATGCTCTCCAACTGGGAAGCATGGTGGGGCCTGAGGCAGTTCTGACTGTAGTAATCTCTGCCCAGGACATATTCCACTGGCAGATCATGGATGGGAATCTGACAGGAAACATCCGCGAGTTCCTGCCCATCGTTGGTGAGAGGGTCCCTCTCTTTGTTCCTTCCTCATCTGCTGTGCTGCTTCCTTTGTTCTCCCACTCCACACGCCCCCCCCCCCCCCACACCTGTCCTTCAGGCCTGAGCCTCACATCTGCCCATATCTGTCCCCAGGGCATGTGCAGGTGGCACAGGTCCCGGGCCGGGGGGACCCTGGCAGCCCTGGAGAGCTGAACTTCTCCTATCTATTCCAACTGCTGGAAGACGAAGGCTACAATGGCTTTGTAGGCTGCGAGTACCAGCCTCAAGGTGAGGGGCGGGCTGAGGCTCCAGGCTTGGCCCTGGGAACGGGAGAACTGGGGGACAGGTATTGGACAGGAGCTGTTTTCCTCCTCATGGGTTGAGATGCTGCTGCCCCACTCTCCCCTCAGGAGACACAGTGGAGGGCTTGAGTTGGCTACGTTCCTACTGGGATAGGCGGGGCCGCTCACAGGCTGGCCAGTGAGGTCCTGCAGTCCACCCACTTGCCTCTCTGAGACAGTGAATTGAGCATCCTGAGTATCCTCCGGAATTAAAGACAACTTGCTGAACGTTTTCATACATGTATGTTATTGGGACACACAGTGTCTAACCCTTCGCTTTCTCTGATCGCTTCCCTCCTGTTGGGAAGGGACACACAGCTCACGTCTGAGTCCTCCAGTCTGCAGTGTTGCTGTGGAGAAGGGAGAGCTTTGAGTCCATCTCCTCACGTACATTTGAGACCCCAGGGGTCGGAAGCAAAGGGACTTGCTCAGGCTCAGGTGCTTCAAAGACAGAGCTGGGATTGGAGCCCAGGTGTCTTACCTCAATGGCAATGTCCATCAGTGATGTCTCAGTGGGTAGAGAGGACCAGAGAGCTCAAGGTGGGAGGTGGGTGACTTGGAGGCAGGATTCAGGCAGAGGAGCCCTCAGGTGAGCGCTTGCCACCTGGTGAAGAATTCCTGGACTCCACCAGGTGAGCAGGAAGGAGTCCCCTCTGGAAGGGCCCAGGGGCCTGAGAGATGAGAACCTCAGGGAGGTGACCTGACCTGCTAGAGCCCTGTGAGTGTTTAGGGAGGGTAGTCCCTGCTGCCAGGCTGGGGCTACAGACCCCGCAGAGAGATGCACAAAGCGGTTGGTATCCCTCAGTGTCCAGGCTTGTGCTGGGGCACACAGGGCTGGTCAGTCCTGCTTCAAGTGGGTAATCTTATAGATCATGATTCGAGGAACAGTGACATTCAGCGGTCCATTCCTCAGAGGAGACGGGTCCAGAGGGTGAAACAGGCCGTGTTGATGACAGACTCAAGGTGATGGTAGGTCGAGACCAGCTGGGCAGGGGGGCTCTCGCTGTCCTGGGGCTGTACTGGGAAGGGCTCTCGGAAAACCACTGTCAGAGACTGGGGAACACAGTGGGGGTCCACTGGTGAGAGAAGGGCAGGTAGGCATCCCAACCTCAGCAGGCTCGGGTGCAGTATTTGGGGTACAGCTTCCCACCAGGCTGACACAGAGTCCCACACCCCCTGTTCTCACCGTCTTTCCCAAGTGGGAATCCAGAAACACTAGCACAAAACAGTCAGTGAACTTCTGATTTAACACAACCTGCAGCAGAAGACAAAATGAGATGGGGAGGGAGGTTCGTCTCACCTGAGGAAGCACAGACCCTCCTGAGGGCCTCCTGGACGTGGGGGGACCAGTCTGAAGAAGGGCTGCTTCCATCACCACACCCGAACCCACCTGCACTCACTCCACCGTCACCTAGAACCTCACCTTCAACGCAATCTCAGTCCTCATCCTCACTGGCCCCTGGTCAGCCTGTCTAGCCTCATCAGAGTGAAGGGGAGGGGGCTTGACTGGGAGGATCCTGAAGTCATCTATCTGGAGGCGCTGCACAGAGCTGGCACCGCAGCCCAACCACCACGGGGAGTTCTCTACCCTTGACAGGCCCCTCCTTGCCTCCTGTGCTATCCCAGGTTTTATATCTCTGACTGCCCGTGGACTGTCCCCTCCTGTCTGTCTGTCCCTGGGCAATCTCTTCCACTCCCAGGGCTGCAGGGACCCCCTGTCCATACAGATGCTGCCCAGATCTCTCTCCTGAGTGCCAATCCCCGATGTCCCTTCAGAACACCTTGAAACTAATCTTCCCCACAGGTACCAGGTTGCAGGACCCATCACCACGAACCAACTCCTACTTTTTCTTGTGAAGTCTTCTCTTAAGTGTCCTTTCCTGGACCACTGCTCTCATTGGCTCATCTCTAACCTTTTACTCCCCCTGTATGTGCGCCTATCACCACAGCTCTTCTCTCCCTGGCCTCCCTGGCAGTGCTCTCAGCTTCAGTGCACACAGTTCCCTGGGGATCTGGCTGAGAGGCGGATTCTCAGTCAGGGGTCTGGAGTGGGTCCTGAGTGCATTTTGGCAAGCTCCCAGGTGTTGCTGGTGCTGCTGGTGTGAGGGCCACACTTTGGGGAGAATAAGACGGCTTAAAGCCCAAGAGGTCCTTTCTGGACTGCAGCCTCTAAGACCAACCACCGATAAGGTTCCAGAACTTGGCCCTGAGGATCTCTAGCCAAAAAAGGTTTGTTTTTGAGGCGGGTCAAGGAGACTCACCAGGTACTGCGTTCCCAAGTCTGGGCTCTGGAAGTGGCGGCAGCTCTGGGGAAAGCGGCTCAGGAGAACCTTGATCAGGCTCTGGTACCAGGAGACCGTCATGGACAGGAAGCAGTCCTGGGGGAGGTCCACAGGCCTGGACCTACTGTCCCAGAGCCACCCTGCACCCTCCACCCTGGCTGCCCATGGAATTCCCAACGTCCATCCCAGCCCCTCTGGAACCCACAGTTCTTTACCAGCTGGGGGTCAATGTCCGCAATGGATTTGGCATGGACCGCCTCTAGGAGCTCCTCCAGCTCAGCCAGGGCCAAGCGCCCCCCTAGCCGCAGCCGATCAGGCCCTGGTGGCTCCAGCAAGAAGAGGCGCTTCCAGAGGGTGTCCCTGCGGCAGTGCCCTCCAGCTAGCCGTACCAGCTGAGCCAGTTGTGCCCGTGCCACGCCCACCTCTGTAGCCAGCGGAGGGAACAGAGGAGCTGGGCCAGGCACCGGACCAACCCCTGAGCCCTCCCTAGGGCTACCAGCGGAGCTCCCAGGAGCCTCTGGCTCAGGGGGAAGTCTGGGTGGCTTCCGGAACCTGCGCATGTCAGCAGTTAGTCTGGGAAAGAGCTCTCGTTGGCTGGTGAGCACCACGAAGAACTTCAGCCTGGAATGGGGAGGGGGCCCGAGTGGCGGTTACAGCAGGAAACAGGGAAAGGGCAGGGGGCAGGCTGGACAATGGGCACATTCAAGGTAGGGGATCTGCTGACCGCAGAACATGCCGCTCAGCCTCTCCTTGCTCCTCAAAGGGTGCAGCACAGTGACAGACGAGCAGAGACACATCAAAGTCATCCTGATGACGAAGCCCCTCAGAGTCCAGGTAGGAGCCGGAGCTGTGCGGTGGGGATGAGATGTCAGCCTGAGGTCCTAATGAAGTCAACCTCACCCCTTCTGCCCAAGAAAACACAGGTCTCCCAACTGTAAGGATGGTCCTGACCGCAGCTCCACCAGAGAACGTGCTGGTGTCCCCTCTCCTCCATACCTGTGCCATGCTGACACCAGGGCGTATTCATTATGTTCTGGGCCCCCTGGCCGAGCCATCCGCAGTGGCTTCATGTGGTAGGAGCTGGCATGGTCAGCCACGTAGTTGTACAGCTGGTGGGCAGCAATGAGCGGTGTGGGGAGCTCCAGGGTCCCTAAGGGGCAAGTTACAGGAGACAGTGAGCCTGGGATAGACATACTGATCGATGGGCTGGGGGATTAGGAGGTCCTAAGGCTCTGATTGACAAGCAGACTGGCCCTGCTTTTCTGGGGAGCTCCTAAGGTCCTGTAGAACATCAAGATGGGACAGAGTGGCTCAGGACAGGCAGGGCAGGGTATACAACATAGGATCTAAACTCTGATATGAAACAGACTGTGACGAAGTTAAGACAGAGACGTGGGGGCAGGGTCCAAGCGATATGAGGCAACTAACAACCTGGGATAGAAAGTCGAAGTCTGGCCCTAGGAAGTGATCCCATCGGCCCACACCTTTGTGGCCTGTTCTTTTTCAGCTTCACTGGCTTGCCCTTGGGCACCAACCAACCTTGGTAAATGTGATTGCGACCAAAGTGGGGCCCATCAGGGTGGTGGGCCAGGAAGTGCCTCAGGAAGGTGGTGAGGTGGTAGCCGTGCCGCAGCACCAGGTGGGCGCCCAGCACGTGCTGGTGCACGAGGCGCAGGTGGAAGTCATAGCTGAACGAGTGCACGTGCATCAGGTCCCGCACCTTGTCGCACTCCTCGGTGAACAGCATGGACAGCTGGGGAGGCACAGGGGCTGGGTTAGGAAATGGTAGCACAGGCTGCCCAGCACATTCCCATTTCCTCCTCTTCCATGGGAGAAGACAGCTCAGGACTCACCCTATTGCCTGAACAGCTCAGGGACGCCCTCCTCATTATATTCTCTTTTATACCGTATTGTAACCCTGTTGACATGAAACTGACCCTTTTGAGAGATGGGACCTTTTATTCTGAAGCCCAGAGTCTGCTAAAGTCTGGCATAGATTCAGTGATGCAACCAATACTTGCTGAGTGCCTACCTGGTACCATTCTAGGTGCTGGGGATACATTGGCCAACAAACCCAAGCCCTCAGGAAGCTTACATTTGAGTGGTGGGGAGATAATACAATAAACACTAGACAGAGAAAATGAGTACACAGTAGGTTAGAAGATGGTGTTATGGAAAATCAAGAAGTAAAGCAGTTGCCATTTTAAACAAGGTGGTCAGGGTAGGCCAGGTGTATAATTATTTACTATTCGAAAGTTTTTGCTGTCACCTTCCCATCTCTCCAGCTTGATTTTCCCATCAAAATACTCATTCTTCCCAAGCACATCACATTGTCTCTACACTTTTGTACCTGCTGCTGTTCTCTGCCTGGATGCTGCCCTCCCTGGTCCTCAAACCTGGCTAACTTCTCTTGGATAAAGCTTTGTCTAGGACAAAGGTGACACGCGAACTCATTTTTTTGGTTGATTTTTCTTTGTTAAATGGCATTTAAATATATAAAATAAGTATCAAAAATATACATCTTTGTTTTACTATGGTTGCAAATATCAAAACATTTCTATATGTGACACGGCACCAGAGTTAAGTTAGGGTTTTTCAAAATGCTGACACGCCGAGCTCAAAAGGTTCGCCATCACTGGTCTAGGACATCCTGCCATGACTAGGCCAGGGTGGGCCTCCTCTAACTGACCTGTGAATGAGTGAATGAAGGGTGGTAGAGAGACTGAGCTGAGCTTCTCTTGGTGGAAATCACCATTAGTGAAAGTGTTAACAATTGGATCAATGGTGCCGGAATGGCAGGATCTACATGAGCACTTCCTTGGGGGCCCTGGGCATAGGAGTTAATAGGAAAGGAGAAATGACTGTAGAAGAAGCAATAGCCTAGGAGTCAGAGTAGCTGCACGATGCTGGGTAAGTCACATTATCTGCTTCAGTTTTCTATCTACC